CCGACTTGCCATGCTTAAGCATCACGCTGTTGAAAAGTGCCAGGTGGCCTATTTTGCGGTTTGGTTTAATTGGGCTGTGTGACTCCTGTTGAAAACGACACTCTTACGAGGGAACAACTGCTATCTAACTGATGACAGCAGGGGGGAGCTACTGCGTCAACACATGGGTGGAGTTTTGTGCGGTGACATTTTGAATTACATTTAGAAAAGACACTCGACTGTGCGTCATACTGCACGGTAGTCACATGCCTTCTAACCATCGTGCGTATAATCCAATTTTCTGATAATTGTCCTCCACATGAGTCTAGTGCAAAGTAAGATATTGCAAAATCAGCCCTTAATGCACCTGGTGTAGACAATGAAATTTCTGTCAGGTCTTAGGACGATTTCGCACAAAGACATCTTGCTGGTCATTTTGGGCTTTTGACGCTCAATCACGCGGTTTGTACTAACTACAGATTGCAATAGAAAGCACTATGGCGGTCACGTCAACCGGCGACTTTGCCTCATGATGCGATTAATGTGGATACGTTTTGAATGATGTCAATTTACCCATCGTGGTGATGTTGGAGGCTTGCTCTGACAGTTTCCTCGCAGAGTGCTGTGGGGCCTTAGTGTCGCTGTGTACGTGACCTCCACTAATAAAGACCGGACACTTCTGCAGTGTGAGTGAACAGCAGCCAAAGCGAGACCCCTTCGTCCTCCCCGAATCCAGCAGAACCGCCAACTGGTAGCACTCGGGGAGGTCGCAGGCGGAATAAAAGTAGAATGCAGTGGTGAATATTAGTGACTATCCAAGATGAGCAGAAAAGCACCATAACTCTTCTTGCCTCTCCTTAGTAACCTCCTGCATCTAATAACAATGACGGCTTGACCTGTAGGCGATTCACGGGTCAGATATATCAGAATCGTTAGTCATTGAATTTGGTTCAAAATTTTTTGCCGTCTCCATCAGCAATGACTACTGCGCATCCGTGGCATTGGCATCTTATGGCAAGGGTCTTCCGTTTGTGTAATAGCTGTTCTATTGAACGCAACTCATAGACCTCATTCGAACAGACCTGTTTGGTTATCTCTCTGTCGGCTAGGATAACGACCTTTTCCACTGTGTCGTTAAAAACTTTTGTGTAGCATTGATAAAATATGAGGTAAATGTTTTAAAAAGGTGAGGTGTGCAAAAGAAGTACAGCAAATAACCTCGATACTGAAAGTAAGTGATCGATAAACAAAAAAACAGCGGTCACAAAGATAGGTCAAAATTGATCTTATAGTTATTGGCAATCAATGCGACTGCGTTTCCACAGCCTGCACGGAAAAGAACCCATATCGGTGGCACTTTCCTGAAAGCCCAGCATAAACAATGTCGATTTTAGACAGAGATTGTTTCCTCAGTCGCCACCACGCAGATATT